GCAACTCTGGGGTGTAGGCATACACATAGAGATCTCTCCCCACCCTGGCACCACTCAGGCCATGGTTCTCACTCTCCCAGCAACCCTGGATTGAGTTATTTGGGACAGAGTATGTCCCCACACACGAGCACAGGCACTTTGTGGGTACTGGAGTGTGTTTTGTTTTAACCAGACATGGGTCATGCCCTGCCATTAATGGGGTAAGGAAAGAGCAACTGACAAAAGCTTAACAAACGAGAAATAAGGCACCGGTTAAACGGAGGAGTTAAGGAATGGACAAAGATGGTGAGCTTTAATCACAGGCAGGGTAAGAGGGCTCGAGGAAAAGGGAGGGCAGCACCAGCTCTTTCGGCGTCAGAAAGTGAGTCACAGTATGACACAGAGAGGTCAGTCCCATCCCACTGCACACCGCGTGTGGACACTGACTGGAGCGACTGTTCTGAGACATTTCTTCATCTGACACTCAATCACAACGTCATGGTGACTTTCTTTCCCTGCAGCCAGGGATGGGAGACTGGCAGAAAAGGAAGGGAGGGGGCTCAAAAGAATAAGTGTGGCAGAAAGTGGCTCAGCTTAATGGTTGACTGTTTCAGTGGAAGGGGTGGGTGGCCACACTACGTCTCACAGTCTTTAGGAATGGTTGTAGTTATAATCAGTGATTGCTCAATCACATCTGCAGGGGAGAAGTTCTCATTTGAGCAGAGTTTCTGTGCAGAGACCTCCTCAGGCAGTGGCCCACGGGCCAGTGACTCCACAATCACCTCGGCTGAGCCCACCTCCAGCTCTGGTGGTGGCTGCAGTACCACCATCACATCCTTCTCGTCCTCGATGATCAGGTTCCGCAGCTTCCGCTGTCGAGGGTTGTAGTTCTCCACTCGGTCGTGGATCTCCATGTGGCGCCTCAAGTGAGCCTGCAAAGGAAGGGGAATGTGGAGAGACGCAGTGAGGGCTGGCTCCCCAGGGCAGCACGGGGCCCTGGAGCTGGGAAAGGCCTCACCTGCCGTGTGAACTTGTAGCCACACTCGATGCACTCAAACTTCCTCACTCCCTTGTGCCGGCGAACGTGGACACGCAGCTGTTCTACCGCTGGGAAGGGAAACAAGAGCCTGTTGGCAGCAGCTCCATGTCACACAGGCTCATTGCAATGCCAACCCGCCCATGGGAAGGAGGCAGCTCCTGCAGAGCCCCACGAGAGCTGGAGCTCCCACGTTACCTTTGAATGTCTTCCCACAGATGTGGCAGAAGTGGGGCCGCCCCTCCTGGTGCCGGCTGGCGACGTGCCTCAGCAGCGGCCCCTTCTCCGTGAAACGCTGCTCACAAAACTCACAGCTGAACGGCCGCTCCCCGGTGTGCGTCCGGTTGTGCTTGTCCAGACTTGCTGCCGTTAAGAGGGGTAGACAGGGAGAGTGGCTGGTCAGAAGCACAGCCTATGCACCCCCATCCCAGGGGCTGTCAGGCTGGGCCAGGAAGGCAAGAGCAGCACAAGCAGTAGCTGCCTGCCACTGCTAAGGGTCATGAGCAACACCAGCTCATTCCCTTTCTGTGCCATAACAGCAGAGCAGGTGACAGGAAAGTGCTTTTCTTGGTATCAGCCTGCACTCACAAGAGCATGGCTTTGCTCCTGGGGAAGCTACTTTCTGGAGGTCCTGGATGCTGGAGCACAGCACTTGGCATGACCCAGCCACAGCCAGGGGTACCTTGTGTCCGGAAGGTCTTGCCGCAGAGATGGCACTGGAAGGGCTTCTCGCCAGTGTGTGTGCGCAGGTGCATGTTGAGGTTGGCTTTCTGCGTGAAGGCGTGGTGGCAGAACTCACAGACATAGGGCCGCTCGTTCCTGTGGGCAGAGAAACATCACCGTCACCTCTGCCTCCACCAGCTTCGGCCCCTTGGGTCTCAGCCCAGCACCTCTGGGAAGAGGGTGACTTTCAGCCAACCCCCAGACCTGTGGGGCAGGGACTGCAGCCAGGAGAGCTGGATGATGTAAGAGAGGACACAGGTCACACTGTACCTGTGCTTGGCCTTGATGTGCATCTGGAGACCATTGCGGCTTGAGGCCCTGTGCCCACACTCCTCGCACACAAACAGCTTCTCTCCGCGGTGCTTGAAGGCCTCGTGTAGGCGCAGCTCTGTCCGGGACAGAAAGCACTTGGAGCAGGTTGAGCACTGCAAGGCCACAGGAGAGGAGGGTGTTAGGGTTGGGGTACACCCACCCCAGACCCACTCACACCCAGCCTTTCCCCAGCTGCTCTGGGGACCTCCCTGTGAAAGCCAAGGCAGCACCACCAGCTCAGAGACACCCAGTGAGATGGGACAACCCAACAGAGATGAAGTGCTGGTCAGTGCTTGGATCTGTGGGCTGCTCCTGTACCAAACAGATCCCATTTCCAGTAGCTCTGTGCCCCACCCCCTCACTGAAACAGCCAGACATAATGTTGTGCCATTCCTTAGACCAGGACCACACTCAGGATCACACCCTCCCCAAAACCCCCAGTCCCTACCGCATGGGGCTTGGGTGCACCGTGCAGCTTTATCATGTGGCTCTGCAGGTCCTTCTTCTGCATGAACTGCTGTGAGCACGAGGAGCACTGCAAGACAGGAGAATGTGGTCAGCTTCCAGCTGCCCCTAAAGTTTGGTTTCAGAGCAAGTAGAGGACCAACAAGGAGTAAAACACAGATTCCTGGTACAGCCATGGGAAGCCTTTGGCTGTGGTGACACCCTGGATCACATTTTAGTTCAGAGACGGGGAACAACCCTGAGTGGGCTGTCATGGACCAGAGAAGGGAACTGGTGCACTTGGCTCTTGATGGGCTGGGCTGCCCTAGAAGGGAAAGGCTTGCCCCTGCTCCGTGCCAGTGTCCAGCAGCATCCATAGGGATATTGGATGCAGGCCCTGCTGACCTTGTATGGCATCTCCCCAGTGTGTGACACCATGTGCAGCCGCAGCTCCATCCGCCGCTTGAACACCTCTGGGCAGGCTGAGCATGTGAATACCTGTGAGAGATGGGCTGGTGTTGGCTTCCACAGGACCCTGAGCCTGACCTGCAGCCCACAGCTCAGCCTCCTGCCCAGCACGTGGCACTGGCACCCAGCTACAGCATTCAGCCCACACCCACAGGAGCCGAATCTTGTACACTACAGAGTCCTGGTGTGCTGAAACACAAGTGAGGGCTGTGTTGTGTTATCGGGCATGAGTCCCAACCCTGGAACATGTGCCACATGGTGCTGGCAGGAGTCTGTTTGGAAGTGAGCATGGGCTGGGACTGGGAGAAGTCTCCAATACCCCTGGTGCCACACGGCAACCACACTCCAGCCCAGCAGGGCAGCTCCTGGGCGTACCTGTTCCGATCTGTTCATGCAGTTCCTGGCTTCGTGTTCCAGGAGATTCTCTTTTCTAAAGTAACATTTGCCACACTTGGAACACTCAAATGGCTTCTCTCCAGTGTGTTTCCTTGGGGTATGCAAATACAGAATCCCATCACTGCCTGTCAACAGCATCTGCACAAACAGGCCCAGATCACAGGGAAGGGTGAGGTGGGTACCTCCCCCCACCCCCACAGTGCTACTATTCACAGCTGCCCTAAAGCTGCTTTTATGCTACATTTGAGTCCCCCTCAACAGCACAGCTGTCAATGCCTGCTGTGCTCCACAGAACACTATTTCTGCAGGGCCAAGATTCTTCCCCAGCACAAGTGAAGCAAAGCTTGAGCTCCTACTGCAGGGTCATGCCCTGCTCTCCGTGATCCACCCTGGAGCTCCTCACAGAGCCCAGCCATGTGTCCTCCAGAACCCCAGAAACCCCACCCCCAAAACCCGGGGCACTCTCAAAGTCCAGGAGGATTTGCCATTGCCCACCTGCAACTACCAGCTACTGCAGCTGCCAAGGAGCCCCTCACACGGCCTTCCTGAGCCACAGCTCAGGACAGTCGCTGCAGCTCCGGGATGCCTTTCATCAACATATAACCCTCCCCCAGGCCAGAGCACCCCCAGGGGCACAGCAGACCCCCCCTTTACCACCCTGCGGGATGCCGAGATGCTGGGATAAGCTGGCAGAAAGGACACTGCCCTTCCATCCCCCCGGGAAAGGGGCCGAGCCGTGGGGGCGGCGCGTCCCCCCGCGCGCAAGGGGAAGGAGAAGCCGGAGCGTTTACCTGTTGTGCACTTTAAGGTAATATTTGCTGAGGAAGGTTTTATGACACGTGGGGCACTCGACCGGCACCGCTGTACCTTTTCTGCTCCCCGGCGCCTTTCCCGGAGCGGGGGGACTCTTTTCGCTCCGCAGCACCTTTTTCTCAGGAAGGGGCTCAGCGTCGCCGTCCCCCCGCCCGCCGCCACCCACCGCCGCCTCCTCCGGGGCTGAGGGGGAGCCCTGCGAGGGAACAGCGGCGTCACCGCGCCGCCCCCGCCGGGCCCCGGCCCCGCCGTCCCCCTCCCGCCCCCCTGACGCACCGCCTGCCCGCCGGGCTGCGGGGCCGCCGCGGGCTCCGGGCGGGCGGCGGCGGCGGCGCGGCGGGGCCGCGGGCGGAAGGCGCGGCACAGCGCCACGGCGTCGGGCACGCCGAGCTGCTCGGCGGCCGCCAGCAGGCGGGCGCGGTTGTGCGCCGTGAGCGCCAGGCGCCCCGTGTAGAAGAAGTCGAGCAGCAGCTGGAAGGTGTCGGCGAGGCCGTCGGGCAGCGCCACGGGCCCGCCGGGGCCGCGGGCGCGGAAGAAGCGGGAGCAGCTGGCGAGCACCGGCCAGTGCGCGCGGAACTCGCGGCCGCCCACGCCGAGCGTCGCGTCGCAGAACTGCCCGGCCGCGCGCTGCCGGTTCAGCTCCCGCAGCACCCGCACGCTGTGCGCCGCCGCCGCCGCCATGGCCCAGCACCGGAGCCCGCCGGCATCCGCCACCGCCGGACGTGGCGTCAGCGGGCGCCGGCAGTGACGCCGGCGGCGGCCGGGGCGGGCCGGGCCGGGGGTCGGTCCCCGCGGCGGGGGAGGCGCGGTGCGGGTCGAGCCCCGCGGCTCAGGCGGCGGCCAGGCGGCGCGTGTACTCCTGGATGGCCATCTGGAAGTGCTCGGCCGTGTTTTGGTGCGGCCGCAGCAGGATGACGAAGGCTCGCGGCACGAAGTACCCGCCCAGCAGCGCTGCCAGCGTGCCCAGCGTGCCGAGCACCCGCCCCGCCGTCGCGGCCCGGCCAAGCAGCAGGTCCTGCGAGCAGAGCACGACGGCCGAGCAGCTCAGGTGCAGCAGCAGGCTCACGGTCAGGCTCTTGGCCTCGTTGTAGGCGGCGGGCAGGTCCGTGCCCGCGTAGCTGAGCGCGAAGCAGCCGGCGCTGAGCAGCACCGTGTAGGCGATGGCGGCGTTGGCCGCGGCGCTCTCGGAGCACTCCAGCACCACCCACTCGTCCCGTGCGCCGTACTCCCGGCGCGGCACCGAGGGGCTGGTGGCCTCGCTGACCACGCACAGCGCCACTTGTACCGCCGAGTTGGCGGCCACGAACAGCACCGGCCCCCGGCGCCGCATCCAGGCCTCGTAGAGCGCAGGGTAGCGCGCGTTCAGCTTGAAGATGCAGAGGATCTGGAAGGAGCGGGTCGCCACGCACGAGAGGAACACGGTGAAGCTGATGATGAAGAGGGGGACCCGCAGCAGGCACGTCGCCTGCGAGGGCTCCCCGAAGTAGCACAAGAGGCTGCTGCAGGTGCAGGCCAGGGAGCCCAGCATGAGGAAACACGTCTTCCCGCCCGCGGACTTGACCACAGGTGTGGAGGAATTGAGCGCGAACAGGACAGCCAGCGCTGCTATGAGCAGCATGAGAAGAACAGCCAGGGCCAGCAGCACCCAGGACAGGGGCTCGGACCACGACAGGAACTGGATGGTGCGGTTGAAGCAGACCTCACTCCCCGCTGGGGCCCACTCATCCAAGCCACAGGCCTGGCAGTCAAAAGGGTCTGTGGAGGACACGGACAGCTCACACACCTCGGACCTGGTAAGAGCTCTGCCACGGAGCCTGGGCTCTGCTCACCCATCGCGCCTGCTCCTTCCTGCAGGTGCTCCCAGGCCTGGGCTAGCAGAGCGGGTTCTTTTCTTAAAAGGCCCCCCACCTAAAATTGGCCCCATGGACTCTCCCAAAATCCATGGCCTGGGCTGAGATAGGGGTGAGGCTTAGGGCCATGGGAGCTGTGGGTGGGAAGGGGTGCATGCATGAAGCACTAACTTGGGAAGGATCTGCAGCAGCTGCTGTTGAATGGGACAGTACCATGTACGGGGGGCTTTCCCACTGTCCCCAGAGCTGCCCCTGCCCACTCCACAGGCCAAGGGTGTTGAGGCACTAGCTGCCAGGAAGGGGTTTGTTGTTTTGGCTGGTGATGCTGAGGCAGGAGACATTTCCATATGCCAGGTGCTGATGATCACATAGTGCGGAAGCCCCGTGTGCCATCTGGGGCACAAAGGCAACCACTCTGTTGAATTTCCCTGGCAGAGGATGTGGTGCAGGGAACAGCTACCGGGCTGGACATCCCCTTTTCCTGGCCGCAGGTGAAAAGGCTCTGTTTGCCCAGGTGGGCTCACCTATGGGCAGTACTCCCCGGAAAGCACAGGGCATGGGCTTTGCATACACAGTGATAAGCAAACAGGAGCCAGACCCACTGCCTTCAGGTCGGCTCAGAGGTTTTACTTAGCACAGGAGGTGAGAGGCTGGGAATGGTGAGACAGGAGCAGGAGGTAGGATGTGGGCAGGGGAGGAAGGGGAAGGATCAGACCCTGTGGTGTACTGACCCGATGTGTTCAGGAAGGTTCCTGGTGGACACGCCACACAGCTGAAGCAGCACTTGTGGCGGCTCTGCTGCAGCCGCATCTCTCCTGGCTCACAGGCCTCAGAGCACACCGAGCTGGGAGCCTGCCAGGAGCACAGACAGGTCAAGCAGCAGCACTCTGGCACCTCCCCACACTGCCTCAGCCCTCAGTTTTGCTCTGCTATGAGGAAACATCCCAGAACTGGTGGCATTGGGATGCAGTCAGCTGAGAAGCAAGCAATAAACAAGACCTGGGTGCAGAACAGTACCTGGCCATCTTCTGTGTGCCACAGGACTTTGCCTGGATCAATGCTCAGCCTGTCAGGGTTCACACGGAAGGTTCCTATCACATCAGAAGTCCAGTTTGGACCCAGCCACTTCCACATGACAATGTCATAGCCTTTATGAATGTCCCCATGGGCATCAAAAGAGATTCGGCTATTGTACAGGGTGAAGTTTACTTGCTTAATCTTTTGTAGGAGCTGTAAAAGAAAAAAGAGGAGCCCTTCCAATGGCACAACTCCTGCCATTGGAAGATGTGCTGGACATTTTCTCTGTTCTGCAACTGCTTTTAAGCCCCCCAACATCTGCAGGAAATCTCATTCAGTGAGGGGCTGGTGGTAGAGGAACAAGTGAACTAGGATGGAGTCTAGGCTGCTCTGACTGTGAGGGGCATCTGAAGCTGACAAGGGTCTTCATCTGGGATTTGAGCCTTTGGGAAAGACAGGAAACCTTTAGGCACAATGGAAAAATCCTTCCCTGTGGGAAGGGACCCTCATGGATCTTCTACCACAAGGTTGGTCTTACCTGCCAGGGATAGACAGTGCCTTTGCTGCAGGCCCCCGAGGCACAACCCAGCAGGTCATGGAGGCCATGGGCCACGGCATAAACAGCCGAGTACACGTTGAAGGAGCCTTGAGTGTCGTACATGTCAGGGACATTGGCAAGCGCACGGTAGCTGTTGCAGCGCTGGGTGCAGTCCAGCCGCATGTTCCCCGCAGATTCCTCGCCTGCCTCTGCACTGCTGGCACACTCAGCCACAGTACGTTCCTCCGACATCCTCCAAGCTTCAAAGCGTTCCAGCATTGTGGACTCTGGCTTCTCTACTGCCATCCCAAACACTGAACCAATGGTCTGAATGCCAGGTACCTGCCAGATACTTTGAGCCAATGACCAATCTTCAGAGGCCACCCACACCATGCCTGTGATGTTCCTCTTGACCACCATCTTGAAGAATGGCAGAACATTTCGTCTGGTGGAGAACACAACAGTGACGTTGACCTTGACATCTGTGAGAATTCGGACCAGGTTGTGAAGCTTGGGGTTGCTGGCATCCAAGTTGTCAGGGATGGTGCCTCGGTAGGCCACGCACACGTTGCTTGCAGTCAGCATCTCCTGCAGAGCATCCAGGCCGGCCCTGCCATAGGTGTTGTCGCTGCCCAGCAGCACCACCCAGGTCCAGCCAAAGTGCTGCAGCAGCAAGAAGATGGCCTTCACCTGCTGCCTGTCGCTGGGGATAGTGCGCAGGAAAGAGGGGTACAGCCGCTTCAGGCTCAGCGACTCCGTGGAGGCTTCGTAGCTGATCTGTAATGAGAGCCAGGGGAAAAGGGGATACGCTGGCCCTGAAAGCTGCACCCCTGAGAGCAAATGGCATAGGCAGCCTGTCCTGGGAAGACTTGGAGCTGGGCAGGCAGTGGACCCAGTGCCAAGTGTGCTGAAGCAGGAGAAAGCTGTAATGGATGGCAAGCCAGCCCACTGACTGCGAGATATCTTGTGACAGAATACACAGAGGGGCTGCATTTCCAGCGCTACTAGTCTCCTCAGGTCTGGGCCCACCATCCCTGAAACCGTCACTCCTTGGGATCCCTGGTTTTCATCAGCTGTAGAAGCTGCACTTACCTCTGGTACAAGAAAGAGGCTGAGAACAGCAGCTGTGGTGAGAGCCAACTGGGTGCTGTCAGGGCCAATGACAGCCACCGCCTGGGGTTCATAGTGCTGGAAACTGGGGAGCACCTGGACATACTGCTGGCCTTTACGAGCAAGGGCACACAGCGTGGCATGGAGGTTGGTAGTCTCAGAGCAGGTGTCATAGATCTCATAGCCCAGGGTAACATTAGGGAGCAGCGTGGTGGAGTTGTTGATCTCCTCCACAGCGAAGCGCAGGGCCTGGGACAGGCAGAAGCCGTGGCTCTTGAAGGCGGCTCTATGGAATCGAGAGTGGTTTGTCAGGGAGGACCGAGCGCGCTGGGGGCACGGGCAGCGCGGGCACTCACTCGTCGCAGCCGCGCACGAGCAGGCTGGCGGCCTCCCGGCGCGCCTCGGTGTGCAGCGGGAACAGCCCGGCCAGCTGGTGGTCGCCGCGGAGGCGGAACGAGCAGGCGGCGGCAGCGGCCGCGCAGAGGCACAGGCGGAGCAGCGCGGGCGGCGGCATGGCGGGGCGGCCCCGCGCCGCGCGGGCGGCTCTTAACGGGGCGGCGGCGGGCGGGGCCTCGCCCGGGCGGGGCGGGGCCGGCCGAGGGGCGGCCCCGGGAGGCGGAGGAGGCTCGGCGGTCATGCCCGCGCGGCGCAGCCGCCCCCGCCGGGCTCCGGCCCGTGCCCTGGCCCGCGGGAGCCGGGCGGAGGCGGCCTGGCGGGAGTTCGCCGCCTCCTTCACTCGCATCGGGATGGTGCCGCCGGCTGAGCCGGGGCTGGTGGCCGTGGAGGCGGCTGAGGGCACGGCCGTGCTGCTGCTGGAGCCGCGGCAGGTGAGCAGCGCCCACGGCGCGCCGGCCGCGCCGCGCCCCGCCGCGCCTGACCGCCCGCTCTGTCCTGCAGGCGCTGACCTTCACCGGCAAGTGCCGCCTGCGCTGCCTCTACGGCGCCGTCCGCCTGCTGGGCTTCGCCGTGGCCTCTCACCACCCGGGACTGCCGGTTTTCTCGCCGGCCACGCACTGCGCGCTCAGCCTGGAGGCGCTGCCTGGCGCCCGCCCGCCCGCCGCCGCGCTCCGCCAGCTGCGCGCCGCCGCCCGCGCCGCCATGCGCTCGCACCGCGTCCGCCGCCGTGAGTGCGGGGCGGGCCGGGGGCGCGGGCGGGCGCCATTTCACGGGCGGTGCGGGGAGCGGCCATTTTGTGCGCGGGGCGCCGCGCCGCGGGTGGGGCCATTTGGCGGGGCTGAGGGTGATGGCGGCACTCGCCTCTTTCAGCGGCGCGGGTGAAGGTGATGGCGCGGTTCTCTCCCGACTGCGCCGTGGTGCTGCTGGAGCACCTGGACACGCCGGTGACGCGGTTCCTGCTGAGCCACCCACCGCTGTCGCGGCTCTTCGAGCCCCAGGTGAGGCGGCGCGGTGCCCGCTGCACCCCGCGCCGTCCCCGCACCGCCCGTGCCGAGCCGGCCGCGGCCTCACACAGCCCGTGCTGAGTGCTCACCCTCTCGCCTAGAAAAAGGAGGAGCCTAACTTCAGGCCAGAGGACGCGGTCCTGGCATCTGTGGGCATCGTGAAGTGCAGCCCCGACTGCGGGCTGCTGGTGTCGGAGAGCATGTGCCTGGCGCTGGAGGAGCTGATCCAGGCCTGCTGTGGTGAGTGCAGGCCTTTGGCTATGCTGTGGCTTTGGTAGCCTGGAAAAAAAGGAAATTCATGAGGCTTTTCATGAGTTAAAGTTGAAAAAAATTCCCTGGCCAGCACATGCTGCTGTGAAGAATGTGTATCTAGAGCTTAGGTATTGCCTAGGGTGGGTCAGTGATGCCAGCATCAGTCCAGTTTACACTCTCCTTTTCTTTCTAGCGGAAGATGAAGGTATCCCTGTGGTGCTGGTGTGTGGCCCAAAAAACACTGGGAAATCTACATTCAACAGATACCTAATTAACCTGTTACTGAACCAGTAAGTCTTTCCATGTTCTGCAAGCCTTTTATGTGCTGCATGAGATTTAAGAGAAGGAAAAAAGAACAAATGTTTGATAGGTCTCTCAGAAGAGCCATCAGAACTCATAGGTGCATTGTTGCTTCCTGAATATTTCTATTGAAAGACTTTTAAATTGCTGCCTTGGAGTGTGTGAACACACTGGGTACCGAACAGTTTGGGTTCAGTAGAAGATTTACAATGCTAAGAAATGCACTGTGAACGTGGTTGAGGGAAGGAGAGATTCATGAATTTTAGCTTTGCAACCTAAAACAAAATCGGATTGCTCTTCTGATGTGATCAAATCATGTGGATGGTAACACACAGTCTCTCTCTGCAGCCTTCCTGTGGTGGAGTACATGGAGTGTGACATTGGCCAGACAGAATTCACTCCGCCCGGGTGCGTGTCCCTGAGCAGCGTCACGGAGCCCGTTCTGGGTATGTGTTCCACTACTTTGCGGTTACAGAAACCTGTTCCGTTTCTGAAATGAGCAGGGTGTTCTGGGCAGAGGCTCTGCTTCAGGGGAACCTGCTGCCACAGCTGTCAGAGTTTCCTGGGGAGAATAAGTTAAGTTTTCTTATAAGGACATTTAAGCTCCCTGAGTAACACGGAGCTATTCTTTTGGTTTAAAGAAACATGATGTAGAGGTGGTAGTACATGCTAAGGTATATCAATGTTCCGCCTTTCACATGTGAAAGGTCTCCTTGGGAAAATCTGTATCCATAGATGAAACTAACTTTAGAAATCCAAAGTGGATCTGCACAGATCGAGGCTGCTGTGATGAGTGGAAAAAACAGAGTCCAGGAAACTGCTGGAGTTCGTAGTCATGCAGATTTGGGTTACTGTCTAAAAGGACATTGCCAGGCTGGTTTGAGGTTTAACCAGTTTGTCATAGACAGTTCTTTAAAGATTTGCAAGTGTGTGAGCAGTGATTTCAAACAAAAAACCACACCTAATATTAACCCGAAACAAACAAAACTCCTAGCCTGCAAGTGACAAACCAGTTTCCCCTGTTTGCAGGCTGTGCAAGAACAACTAGCAGGTGGGAAGAGTGTGGGTTATTTCAGGAGAGGAGGCATGTGGGTGCTCAGGGATGGGAATGTTGTGGTTTGACTTGGGGAAGGCACTGGATGTTCGGTGCTCTCTTTGCCAGGTCCCCCCTTCACTCACCAGCAGATGCCCAGTAAGATGGTGTATTATGGCCAGACCAGCTGTGAGCAGGACACAGAGAGGTACCTTGATGTTGTGAAGTACGTGTTCAGCTACTACAAGAAGGAAGTGCCTCTAGTCATCAACACCATGGGCTGGGTGAAAGGTAAATGGGGTCAATCTGCTCTGGAGAGGTGTGGGAGGGAGGTAACGGTGGCACAGCACCGTGTGGAACAACAGTTCACACTGTGTCCACCCTGAGCAAGTGCTGATGAAGTAGTAGTAACAGCAGTTGTGTGTTTCCTGTTCTCCTGAAGGTGAAGGGCTGCTGCTCCTCATTGATATCATCCGGCTGTTGTCACCCAGCCACATTGTTCAGATGGACATGTGTGACTGGAAGGCCATGCCTCCGCTGACGCCTGAGCACATCCACTTCAGCGCTGGGCTGCACACCAAGGGCAAGCAGCAATCCAAGTGCAAGCAGCTGGGAGTGGGCAGCATGGAGAGCTGGCAGTACCCTGAAGGGGAGGATGTGTCAGCTCCACAGCACAAGCTGCTGTATGTCCACCCGGAATTCCCTCGGGCGGGGGTGGCAGGTGAAGCGTAAGTAGGCTGTTGAGTGCTCTGTGAGGTCCTGAATGGGCTGAACAGAACCACACGTCGTCCTTGACATGGGGTTGTTCTTTCAGGCGAGTGCACAGCGGCATCCTGCGTGACATGTCCATCCTGGGATACCTGGGGCAGCTGCAGAGCCCGGACATTGGGGCGGTGCTCCCACTGCACAGCCTGGTGCCATATCAGGTAAAGGAGCTTTTTGGGATGGATGGGCAATTTTGTTCCTACTGTATGTGTTTCTCAGAAGAGGGACAAACACTCTAATCTGCAGAGTGACTGTATTCAGGGTGTCTGGAAGCCAGGCTCCTGTCCAGTTGCTGGTGTGGCAGGTGTGTGCTGTGTGTCCTGCGTGTGCAGTTGTTGGTGCAGAAGCTGCTTTGTGTGCCCTGCTGTAGTGCCTGTGTGTAGGTGTGGTGTGGGAGTTTGCAGGGTGTGTGTTCAGCAGGGTCTTACCTCTGAACTCAAACTCAATCCATAAGGAGCTGATGAGCACTTTTCTCTCTTTTTCCCACCTCAGGTACCTTTCAATGCTGTCGCACTCAGGGTTATTCACACGGATGTTGCTCCGAGCAACATCATGTACGCGGTGAACGCCAGCTGGGTCGGGCTGTGCTGCATTCCGGAGGAAGTCCGGTGCCAGACCGAAGGGCCAGTCCTGCTGACACAGACACCGGTCTGCGACTGCCTGGGCTTCGGTGAGCACACCTGGAGCTCTGCTCTCACCTGCCATGTTTAGGCAGACAGTTTGCATAGTGATGGAACTATCTACTCTTTTAAAACCAGCTGGAGAAGTGGGGTGAGTGTGGTGTGTTCTCTGCTGTTAGAGACTGTATTGCAGTCCTTGGACTTTGGTTAACAGGTGGTAGGAGCTGTGGGGGATGACCTTGAACACTTGGAGCTTCTCTCAGAACTCCACAGTGACTCACTTTCTGGTTCACATTCTTGAAAGCACATTCCATGTAGCTTTTGCAAAACTCCAGTAGTTGTCTCCTTAATTCAATGTTCCAGTTTTAACTTTGGTGCTCAGTTGTGTGTAGGAATGTGATAGTGAGCAGGGATACCTAGTGACTTGAGTTTTGGATGTGGTTTTTTCGGTTTTTTTAGGAATTGTCCGAGGAGTTGATATGGAGAAGAAGCTTTACCACATCCTGACACCAGTGCCTCCAGTGAATCTGAGATTAGTGAATTGTCTGCTCCTTGGGAACATCTCCATCCCTAACTGTGTGCTTGTGGGCCAGGTAAGAGCTCAAGGGAGGGGTGGGAGTTGGTTGAGCTGCAGCTGGCTGGCAGGTTTTCCATTTTCTTATTCCTGAGGCTGATGCGTGCTGGGAGATGCCTGGGCATCAGCAGATGGTTATCTCTCTGTGAAATTGTCCTTAAGCACAGAAACTGTGGGAGAACAGAATGTTCTGCTCATGTTTCAGATGCCAAAGTGGGGTTTGGTGATTGCTGAGTCCTCCCCACCATCAGGTTATCAGCCTGGGGAGGGAAGTGCCTCCCCCTCTTCTGAAGGTACAAGTTCTTAAAGTTGTTTCTGGTTTAATTTTTCCATTTTGCAGCAAGGAATTGAGGGAGAGATCCCCTACGTCACATCTGATTACAACTACAGTATCATGGGCTCAGGAAAACTGAGGAAGAAGAAGCAGCATTTGAAGAGAAGGCAGTTCCCCTTTGAGTGTGATTACACTTGAAGCCTTGGGGTGCTCAGCCAGGGTTTGTTCGTGTGGGACCTCAGGTAGTTGCAGGAGCCCTGGGTGCTGCAAAGGCCCTGGGCAGGTAGATGCTACAGTGGGGCCAGTTTTGATAATGTTTTGTATGTTGTTTGTATTTTTGGTGTTTTGTAATAAATATCTATGGTAAACATTGGGCTGGTTTGGATCTTTTCCTAGGCCGAGGCTGACACAGCCGGGGGCAGCTGCCGTTGCCCTCACACTGGTCAGGACCTCTTCCCATGGCATGCCTGGCCCTCAGGGAGCTCAGGTGTCAGTGACCTACAGTGTCCTGAGCTGAGCTTCACTGTCCCCTGCGTTTGGGGAAGGGCCCATTCTGGGGTTGTGGCTGCCCCATGGCTCTGGGTGTCCTGCTGGTCAAGGAGAGGGGAGGGAAGGAGCACCACAGGGAGTCCCTGTCCCCCTGAGTCACAAAGATGGAGCTGCTTGGTGCTGCACTGTCACAGCCTGCCCTGTCTGTCCCCGGGACTGCTGCCTCGGGCCCTGTGCTGTCCCGGCTGCCTATCTGGTGCTGCAGGGTGAGCTCAGTGCCCTGAGCACGGGCTGGGAGCAGCCTGGGCTGGCTCTGTGCTATGGATAGAGGCAGTGGGATGGGACTGGGGAGGAGCTTGTTGCCCAGCTGCTGCATGGAGCACTGGGGTGTGTGGCCTTACCTGACCCCACCTTCACTGTCCCACTGGGACACAGGAGGATCTTTATTTTTCTTCCCAGTCTTTTGTCAGTTAGCAATTTGCTGCCAAGGGAAGCCGGGAGTGGTGGGAGTCGCATAGGGCTGAGTGCCTTAGGTCAAATAGAGGACATTTTTGGGAAAAGCTATTCTTTATGGGTAATACCAGCATGCTGGGCTCTTCCTGGATCTGTGACTGCAAAAGTAACCTGGCTTCTAACAGCGGCTCCTGCAAAATGGGGCATGGCTCTGCCTCAGCCCAGACTGGGGAACAGTCCAGCCCTGGAGTCTGCAGCCCCCTGGGCCCAGCGCCCGTTCAAATCCCCTGTGAGGGTCTGTGGAGAAAGGAGGGAAGCAGAGGAAGGAGGAATGTAGTGCACCTGGGGCCAGAGCTGTTTGGCTGGTGGCTGCTGGGGGTGTCAGTAATCTGCAAAACTGCTTTTATCTGGTTTGGGAAGAGATTTCCTAGAACTCCAGGAACGAGCAGCTGTAAACAAATAAACAAACTGGGATGAGAGGTGAGGAGGGGACAGAGCTGGAGAAGAGCTACAAGGGGCTGTGCAGTGTTGCAGCCTTGTAAAGAGTTAAACTTAATCCAAGCCTAATTATCCCCATATGGCTGGGTCTGGCAGCAAAGGAAGAAGTTGGCTAGCATTGTGGCCTGAACAGTGGCTAAAATAAATAAAGGGGCTGTGGTACACTCAGGGGGAACATCCCAGACAGGGTGAAATGGGAGTTCAAGTCACAAGGGAGTGAGTGGAAAAAGCTTCAGGAAAGGTGAGATAGGCAAAGGACATGGGAGAAATGCCCAACACTAAAAGCACTGTGGCCAAGCATCCCCCTTGGTGTTGTCACCAGCACCCAGCATCCACCTCAACCAGCTGAGGACAATGAATCCCACAATGGCTCCATCCCTTGGAGCCAGGGGACAAGTGAGTAACCCATGTGCCAAGCTGCAAGTTTGCTTTGGGGCATTTCAGGGGGAGGTGGTAAAAGGTGCCAGTGCCTGCTGGGGCCCAGAGGTGGATGCTGCAGCCTTGGGAAAGGGGAACCTCACTGGCTTCTGGTGCACCCTGAGGGGAAGAGGGACAACAGGGGGGCTGGGGATTTGGGAGCATAAATCTTGGTGAAGCATTCCACCTACAAGAACACTGTTCTGTGATTCCTGGGAAATCTATGACAGCACTTCAAATATTAAGGATGCACTAAATCAAGCAAGATTAATTTTGCAATACATTGGCATCAGTTACCTCTGCAGCAGTGATTTATGATGGAATTTCTGGCAAAGGATGCCTAGAAGCAGCAAAACTCTGAAAAGCACCTGGTGCCTATGGCAAGAGATATGATGCATTTGGAGGCTGGGATGGTCTTGGCCTGGCAGTTTTGCATGGGGGAGGATGAAGGTGCCATCTTTTGTTGTCTTTGTGGGGTTTAAACCCTATCTGGCGCTTCCTTGGATCAGCAGGAGGAAAATCCCCCTGAATATCCCTGGTTTTCCCTATGCAGGCTGGGGGCCCCTGTGTGCCCACGGGTGCAGAGATACAACCGGAGCTCAGGGCGGCGCATTCCTGCCCCCTCAAAAGCCGGACGGACGGCAGAGCCGCCAAACAGCCCCCTTCTTAATGCTGATTCTTTCCATCACAAGCACGTCTTGTCTCCGTGGCCGAAAGTCTTCCATAGACGGTGGAAAGTGAAATTTGTGCAATGTCTGTAGGAGGCTGAAGAAAGGCCCTTTGTGCGCCCCCCGCGCGGGCGCTGGGCAGCCTCCAGCAGCACCCTCGGCCGCCCCGCGGCTCCCGCCGGCGGCGTCAATGCGCCGCTTGTCCAGAGACCGGGACCCACTCTTAAAGCCAGAGCTGGTCTGCCTCGGTTAGTCCCACCGGTGGCCCCGTCGGGGCGGGCACGGCTGCGGGGGGCCCTCCGGGCCGCAACCGCAGGATGTTTCTGTACTGGAGGAAGCGGGGTGCCTACGAGCTGGAGGCTTTGCCGCCCGGCCTGGCGGGGCTGGAGTACGGGGCAGTGGAGCGCTTCTCCTGGAGCTCCAGCCTGGACGTCAGCGAGGAGCTCGGGGGTAGGTGGCCGGGAGGCTTTGGGCAACCGGCAGGCTGTGGCTGAGCGCGGCTGCCCTAAACCTCCAGCCCTGGCAACGAGGGTGAGGGGTTGGGAGAAGCTGCTGGGTGCCGCCGGGATGCCGTGGGAATGCTGCAGGTGCAGCTGGGGAGCGCTCAGCAAACCGCCCCGTGCCACCGGCGCCGCTCCCCCCGGCCCAGGCAGGCGCTCGAAGCAGCCGGCTGCCGCTGCCGTGCGCTCTGCCGCAGGGACGATCCGGTTTCAAAACTCGTTTGCCGTCGCCGGGAGCGCCGAGTGTGATAGCATAGCCGGCAGCAGGAGGAGGAGGAGGTGACCGGGCGGGGAGAGGAGCTGATGGGGACAGGATCTCTCCGGCAGCCCCCGAAGTGTCTGCTGGGGACCCGGACACCCTCCTGCCTCGGCCCCAAAGCGGGGCTCCCTGCGAGGAGCACCCAGCCCGCGTGTCCCAGGCCCTGGTGCATGTGTGAGCCGCTGGCAGGGTCGGCTTTTTGGGAACGGCCACGCGGCTCAGGCGGTGCCGGCGGCTGCGGCGTGGGGCTGATCCCTGGCGCCGCCGGCCGCTCCGGCCAGCCTCTCTAGTTTTTTGGTGAGTTTGGGAAACTTTCCCTCGGGTGCATGAAAGAATTTCTTATTTGTTTCCGTTATTATTCCCGATAGGTCAAGTGAAACGGCAGCGGCGGGGGGCGGGGGCCGGCCCAGCTCGGCGGGCGCTGCGGGGCGGCCGCGGGGACAGAGACCTCATTGTGCTCCCGCCGCGGGGGCTGCGCTCGGCCCCGGCTCCCAGCCCGGCTCTCAGCCCTATTCCCGGTGGGCGACTAGCTGAGCCCTGCCCGGCTGCTCCTGCACCGTCATCCTGCAGCGTCCGTGGTGCCACAGCAGCCCCGGGATCGCCTTCCAGACGGGAGCTTGAGCAACCAGCACCATTCCGAGTTGCCTCCCCGTCTCCAGGCAGAAGCAGCGGTTTTTTCAGTGCTGCTTCAAAAGCCAGACTGTTTTATCCTGCAGACTGTTTCTAACCCCGGCCTTGGCCGCGCTCTTGCTTGGGTCGGCGTGGATGCTGTTTTTGTTGGCAGGAAGGATGAGGGAGATGGAAGCGGTGTGGCGGGGAAGTCCCTGTGCCGCTGGGCTGGTGTAATAGCCGTGCCACCTGGTAGAGCCGTGCCACCTGGTAGAGCCGTGCCATTGTGGTAGAGCCATGCCATCTGGCCTCTCCACATCCCCGGCAGTGGCTCCCTGCCCAGCAGGCAGCTTCCCAACGGTGCATCCCTGCCTGCAGCGGGGCTGTCCAGCCAGAGGGTGTCTGTACTGCTCGTTTGCCCTGCGAGCAGCCCGGAGTCTGTTATTTTTAAACGATTAGGTTCGACACATAACAAAAGCCTTCAAAATAGGATTTGTCCCTAAGGCCGATTTAACTGTCAAAGCTTAAAGTGGCTCCTAAGCCCCGTTGGGGGCTGACAGCGGCAGATTTAGTGTTGCTGCTGCAGCCCCACACCGTGCCAGCCCAAGGGGAGCTGGGGCAGGTCTGTGTCCTCATCCTGTACCCCGGGGTGCTGAGCAGGAGGTGCCGGATTCTGTCACTGTGTGTTCCCCCAGCGGGAACGCTTCACTGGCTCTTGGGCACGGGGCTTCATTCCCCGGGACGAGCTGTGGGGCAGGCAGGAGCGAGCCGAGCCCGAGTGCTTTGCTGAACTCTGAAACCCGGGATTCCTGGTGTGGGAGCCTCAGCACGGACCTAGAAGGGGCTCACCACGGCACCCAGGCACTGACCCTACTCTCTCCACAGCCGAGCCGTGCCCAGAAGAGGAGACAGTGCTGCACTGCCAGAACCCCGACTGCGCCGGAGAGAGGAGGGCGGCCAAGGTGGGTCCTGCGGGGAGGGGACAACGCCGGGGCTGAGAAGAGGCAGCGGACAGCTCTGCCCAACCTGCCGCTCCTGCAGGGCCCCTGCTCTGGTCGGCAGCCCCAGGCCTGCCGTGCCGGCTGTGCATTCCCTGCTGGCGTCAGGGTCCTGCTGGCATTTAACGGCACAGCGGCGGTTTACGCGTTTCCCCAGGCTGCCGTGATTTGGGCTAATCCTCTCCAGCCCGTCTGTTCCCCTGCTCTCTAACGTGACGCCAGGGTAGATTTAGGGTCCCTTCTCTCCCGCCGGCCGTACGGAGCCGGGCCGGACCCACGCCCTGGCTCCCGGCGAGTCCCCGGGCTGCTGTGCGGGGCCGCGGGCGGTGTCCCGGCGCAGCAGGCAGGACGGCCCGGGCGCACCGGGGGTGTGCCGGGTGCTCTGTTTGCACGCCGGGCTGGCAGGGCCGGTGCTGCTGGGGCACACGTGGCACTGGGCTGCAGCTGCCCAGGAGTGCAGCTGGGACTGCCAGGAGCGACTGAGGCCACCCCGCCGCTGTGACCGGACCCCAGATGGTGCCTGGCAGGTAGCGGGGCGGTGGGCGGGGGGAGATGGTCAGGATGGGGGCTCATCCTGCCGTGCTGTGTGCAGGATCGTGATCCCCCTTGCTTTGTGAGGCACCGGCTGAGGGGCGGCGGAGCTGCCGTGCGCTGGGGGTTCCGTGGGGCTCGGATCAGGAGCTGATCCCTGGGATAGGCAGAGGGGTTTGGCCATCCCGCCTGGCCCCTCCTGTGGGGATGAGTCCAGGGATGAGCTGCTGGCACAGGGTGGATGAGGAGCCCCACATCCCTCTGGGGTAGCTGTCAAGAGTCCCAGGGGATCTCAGTGAACGAGTGCCAGCTGCAGGCACTGCTTGCAGCAGCCATACTCCCACACGCAGGTGTCACGACGGCCACGATGGCAACAACGCTGTGGGACACATGGTGAAGGAGGGCTGAGGGTACAGGGTGTCCTGGGGCTGAGGCTGTCTCTAGGACACTCGTGGATGGCAGGGGTGCTGCAGAGGGACCAGCGGCCCCTCGGAGGGAGCGCGGGTGGTGGGAGCGCGTCAGCGCTGACCTCAGCAGCGCCGGAGGAAGGAGCGCAGGAAGCGGGGGCGGCTGGGGCTGCACAGGCGCTTCCTCCCCGCAGCAGCGCGGTGCACCACAGGCAAGCCCGAGCAGGGCTGTCTCCTCCCAGCACCCTCGCACCCCTCCGCGGGCGAGGAGGCGCTGGGGGTCCCACACCGGGATGGGGATGTGTCAGCGCTGCAGCAGGACTTGCTGGCAGTGGCCTGCACACCACAATCCCCAGTGAGACGGGCACTGGCCAGAGAACACAGGCTGTGCGCTGCGCTGGGGGCTTGGCCGGGGGTTTAAAAATAACCCGCTGTGAATGCCTGGAGGGGCTGGGGCCGCGGCCGTGGCCGCACACAATCGGAGGAAACCCGCCGGCTTGGAGCATTGTTTGTCTGCAGACGCTCGCTTCCTCCGTCCTGCCACGGGGACGCGGCTCTCGTCAGCACAAAGGGGCTGCGGGGTGCCAGGGCGGCCTCCCGGGCCGCTGGCGAGGTGCTGGTGCCACGGTGCAGGTGGCTGTCCCGCAGCTCCTTGTTCAAGGCCCGGCATGTGCAGGTGTCCCAGGCTGTCTGCTCACTGCGGTGGAACAGGGAGGGGCTCTGCGGGACAGAAGGCCCTGTGTCATCACCATGCCCTTACAGCACCCACTGCCTCATGGCCATGTCCTGGTCATGCTGCTTTCCCTCTCTGGCTCCAGCATTCCCTGTGAACAATGTGCCAGCTGCAGCTGGGGATGGGAGAGGGAACCCTGCTGCTCGTGGTGCTCCTGTAAACGTGCCACAGCTGGCAGCCCCGGCAGGCCCTGCCTGATGGACTCGTGTCCCCGCAGGAATGCCACCACGCAGAGTGCCGGCAGCTGAGCCGCAGCGGCCCCCTCAGCCTGTGTGAGCTCTGCGATGGCCACCTCCATGGCGCCATGCACTTCGATGGCCACATCCGCTTCGACCTGCCCCCGCAAGGTGAGCCGGACGGAGCTGCGGCGCTGCTGCCGCAGCCATGGGAGTGATGGAATGCACTTGGGGCAGGTGCAGCTCAGGGATGGGAGTGGGATGCAGCGGGAGCCAGCACGGGGCTGGGGGAGCTGTCACAGCCCAGCTCGATGCCCGTTTGCAGGCTCCATCCTGGCCCGCAACATGTCCACGCGTTCGTGCCCCCCGCGCACCAGCCCTGCCTCTGATGTGGAGGAGGAGGAGGAGGGTCCGGCAGAGAGCAGAGGGTGAGCCCCTAGCCCTGCACAGCCCGTGTGCAGCCCCAGCCCGCAGCATCCCTGTCACCCTGCCCTCCCTGTGCCCGCAGGGAGCGCAGGAGCTCGGCGCTGAAGCTGCCCAAGAAGAAGGCTTGGCGCAGGCACACGGACGTAAGGCACCAGCCCCTCTCCCTGGAGCACTTGGCAGGGCAGCAGGATGGCCCTGGTTGGAGGGAGGGAGGGATCCCTGGACAAGCAGCTGCCACCTGCCCCCAGGACCCCAGCAAGGAGTGCTTCACCTTGAAGTTTGACCTCAGTATCGACATGGAGGCAGAGATCGTGCCAGCTGTGAAGAAGAAGTCACTGGGGTAAGTCTACTGGGGACAGGACAAGGGACAATGTGGGTTCAGATGCAGAGACAAATGTGGGGCTCATGTCCCTCAGGGAAGTGCTGCTGCCAGTCTTTGAGAGGAAGGCAATCGAGCTGAGCAAAGTGAACATCTACCTGGACCAGTCCCACACGCCGCTGTCCCTGCAGTTCGAGGCGTATCGCTTCGGGGGACACTACCTGCGGGTTAAAGGTGCTGCCGGGGCCCCGAGGGAGGCTTGGCTGCTCCAGAGCTCCCAGGGGACACTGACGAGGTGATGCTCCCACAGCCAAGCCCGGAGATGAGCTGAAGGTGGAGCAGGCAGTGCGAGATGCCAGGTCAGCCAGCCTGCCCATCCTGCACCCTGCCAGCAGTGCTGCATTCCTTGGGCCAGTGCTGGAGCCACTGCCAGGACGCCGGGAGGGCACTGAGAGCATGGTGAGTACCAGTGCTAGCTCTGGGGAGGAATTGGGGTGGGATGACAACATGTGTGATCCCCCCATAGCCATTCTTTCTGGTGAAGTTGGATCATGGGGCAGCAGCATGTTGTATTCTCCATGGCCTTGTATGTTGTGGGCTGAAGATCTGCCTGGAGTCCCCAAGACTCACTTTTTCTCCTGGCTGTGCCATGCTGGCTGTGCTGTGCTGGGCTGTGCTGGCTACCCCATGGTAGCCTAGCAGCTCAAGCAGCAGCACCAGCCCTTTGGCGGTGCCAGGTACAGGCTGGCACGAAAGCAAAGGCAAACAGGAGCCCTGGGGGCCCCAGTGTTGACTGCAGCTCTGTGCCACCCCAGCCCTGGGACTTGCCCTGGCCACTGGCCCTCCTCTCAGCTGCTGGCAGCTGCTGAGCACAGCAGCTCTGTCCTGCCCCGTGGACCCTGGCCCCAGATAAGGCGTGGGACCGGCTTGGGCGTCGCTCCCATGGGAGCAGGGTGCCAGGCCTGAAGGGAAAAGCTCTGCAGGGTCCCGCCAGGGGGACCCGGTGCTTGGTCCTGTGCCAGCAGGCCCTGAGGGCTCAACCTGGCTGCCTGGCCAGGGCTAGTGGCCGCCCGTGTCCAGCAGTATGACGCCTGGCTGCAGGACCGGCAAGGCTCTAGCAGGGCCAGGGGACAAGCAGGCAACCAGCCACCTCTATGGGGGTCTCGGTCCCGACCACCTTCCTGGGGACAGGTGAGTTCCAAGTGGCACCGAGGCGACAGGGCTGGTCACAGCCGGGACATCTGAAGTGGCAGCACAGTGAGTAAATGGGAATGGTGCCTGTAGCGGCTCTTCCCGCCTGGGTCTGCGGACGTGGCAGGGTGTGGGGCCGTGCTGGCGGCAGTGGCAACAGCATGCGGCTTCCCAGGGCTCGGTGGCAGGCAGGGAGCCCCGACCCTGCTGTTCTGTGCCCCGCTGAGGAGATGGCAGCGGCCGCATCCCTGGCCCAGGGACGCCAGGGAGCAGCCGGCTCAGCGGAGCCCGGGGCGGCGGGAGCCGCTTGGCCGTGACCCAGCTCTCGCGGCCAGCCGGGGGGCTTTGATCTCCGCCGGTGAATTGTTCAGCTCTGGTAGCTTATCTGCCGAGGAGGGAAATTAGGTTTTCGGCGCTGGCCCCACCTCCTTTTGTTTCGGAGGAGCTCGGCCACAGCCTGCCCGGCCCCGGCTCTGTGGTCCGAGCCGGGAGTGCGGCTGGACAGACGGCTCGGCCGGGTGCTGCGACCCCCGGGATGCCCTGAGCCCCCGCGCTGCTGCGGCCCCTTGTCCATGGCCGGCCGGGCTTGGCCAGGCAGCACCCGGGGTCCTGCAGCCCCGGGGCCCTGCACCCCCGGGATGCAGGTAGGCAGGTCAGTGCGGGCAGGGGAGCATGGCCGGGGGACCCCACTGCCCGGGGCTGCCATCTGGGTGTCCGTCTGTCTGTCTGTTCCACCGTGCTCGAAGTCAGCCAGGCTGCTGTCCCCATCCTGGCCGCAGAGCTGGGCGCTGACCCTGGGGACGCTGGCTGCTCCCACTGCAGGCTCCGGGACGGCGAAGGAAGAACATAACAGAGTTCCTGGGGGACAGCAACATCCCCAGCCCCGAGCCAGCCCTGCACGGCAGCAGCTCTCTGCCCACCAATGGCACTGACACCTGGAAGAACCGCGCTGCCAGCCGCTTCAGCGGCTTCTTCGGCTCCGGGACTAGCACGGGCTCCTTCGGGCGGGTATGTGGGATGCAGGCATGGGGAGGGGTTGTGGGAACTGCCTGTGGCTATTCTGGGGGAGCTGGGATGGGTCCCCCTGGGGTTCAAGACCCTAGTTCCACAGGCAGGGTGAGGTAGTCCATGCCCACCAGCCCCCGCCCAGCTCTGTTCCCCACTTTTGGCCAGGAGACTGAGAAGCTGGAGCAGCTGGTGAACAGGCTGCATGCCTACAGCACCTTCGGGCTGCCCAAGCTGCCGCCCCAGCTCCGCTTCGACCGCGACTCCTGGGAGGAGGACGGGGACGAGGCTGGGCTGACACTGGAGGACAGCTGGCAGCAGATCATCCAGGGCACAGAGGTAGGACAGTTCCTGGGGAGCCTCAGGGGCTCTGCCCAGGCCCTGGCACAGCGCTGACCCTCAGCCTGGCAGGTCCTGTCACGCCGGCAGTGCCACCAGCAGGAAGCCATCTGGGAGCTGCTGCACACAGAGGCCACCTATATCCGGAACCTCAAAGTCATTACTGATGTGAGTGTTGGCAGCCAGTGCACTGTGCTGCGGCTGGGGGCTGTGGCTGCAGCTCACTGGCTCTCCATTCCCTCCCCACAGCTGTTCCTCTCCTGCCTGGTGAACCTGCAGGAGTCAGGGCTGCTCTGTGAGGTGAGTGGAGGGGGCTACAGGGGACAGGGTGTTCAGGGATGGGTCCTCACCTCGCCATGCCGCAGGGTGGAGGTGGCATTCCCCAGTGCTGCCCACCTCACCCCCACAGGTGGATGCCGAGCGGCTCTTCAGCAACATTGGGGAGATCATCCGGCTGCACTGCAAGCTGTGGCGCAGTGTCATGGCCCCAGTACTGGCCAAGGCACGACGGACTGGGGCACTGCTTGACCCCATCGACTTCCTTGATGGCTTCAAGATGGTGAGTGAGGATGCCATGCCACAGTGGGTAGCCATGCCATGCCGTGTGCTGCATGGTGACCACCTTGTGTCCCCCAGTTCGGGTCCCTCTTCAAGCCCTATGTGCAGTATTGCATGGAGGAGGAGGGCTGCATGGAGTACATGCGGACCCTGCTGCGGGACAGCGAGCTCTTCCGCACCTATGTGACGGTAAGGGGAGGGCAGGGCTGGGGCTGGGGCTGGGGCTGGGGCTGGGGCTGGGGCGGTGCTGGGGCTAATACCTGGCTGCCACAGTGGGCCGAGAAGCAGGAGCAGTGCAGCCGCCTGAAGCTGAGCGACATGCTGGTGAAACCTCACCAGCGCCTCACCAAGTACCCGCTGCTCCTCAAGTCTATCCTGAAGAAGACGGATGACCCACGCGCCCGTGATGCCATCACCACCATGGTAAGAGGTCAGGGGTGGGGGGCGGCAGGGTCGGTGGCCCCTGGGCTCTCAAACCCACATGCCACTCCTGGCACAGATCAGCTCTGTGGAGCGCTTCATCAACGACGTCAACTCGCGGATGCGCCAGCGGCAGGAGCGGCAGCGCCTGGATGCCATCCTCAGCCGGATTGATGCCTACGAGGTGGTGGAGGGCAGCACAGACGAGGTGGACAAGGTAGGCTGGACGTGGTAGAGCTGCCATCTCATGCCATGCCGTACCATGCCATGCCACTCAATGCCAACCTCTGCCACCCTGCTCTGCCACCCTATGTCATTTCATGCCAAGCCACCCCATGCTATGTCATGCCATGCCACCCATTTCATGTTACCCCATGCACCCCGTGCTGACACCGGGGGCTTCTGGCAGCTGCTGAAGGAGTTCCTGCGGCTGGACCTGACGGCTCCCATCCCCGGCACCTCCCCGGAGGACACCCGGCAGCTCCTCCTCGAGGGCAGCCTGAGGATGCGGGAAGGTAAAGACAGCAAGGTGAGGACCGCAGGGGACAGGGAGGTCTCGGCTCCGGCCCCTGCCCACCCACCCTCACACACTGCACCGACTGGTGCCCATGGCTCCACTGTCATCCCCAGATGGATGTCTACTGCTTCCTCTTCACCGACCTCTTCCTCATCACCAAGCCCTTCAAGAAGGCTGAGCGCACCAAGGTGATCCGGCAGCCCTTGCTGGTGGACAGAGTCGTTTGCCGGGAGCTCAGAGACCCAGGTGAGAGCATTGGGCATAAGGGGGACTACAGGGTGGTCCCTGGACACTGCTGACAGCCCCTGCCCACAGGCTCCTTCCTCCTCATCTACCTGAACGAGCTGGGGAGTGCTGTGGCTGCCTACACCTTCCAGACGAGTGGGCAGTTGTGCCGCAGCTGGGTCGAGGCAGTGCGTAATGCCCAGGTGAGGGCACATGGGTGGGTGTGGGACCCATGGGTTCCCTGTGCACCCCCCATTCCACACTGATGACTCCCCCTTCCCAGAACCTGCTGCAGCGTCTGCGGCAGCGTCGGCGCATGGAGGAGCAGGAGGAGGAGGATGAGGAGGACGAGGAGGATGATGGTGAGAGTGGCACTTCAGCTGCCAGTTCACCTACCATCCTACACCACAGCAGCGCCAGCCCGGACTCACAGCAGTGGTAGGGAGCAGGAGGGAGGGACCTGTGCACCCCCAGCCTGGCAAAGGCTCCTCCTCACTTTCTTGTCTCCACAGCCCATCCGATGGCTCCACCGAGACGCTTGCCATGGTGGCAGCAGACGGTGGCGACGAGCTCTCCTCCCCAGACTGGGATGCAGGACCCTTCAGCTCAACCTCGGATGGCTCCTCTATTAGCACCAGCACCTCCATCGGCACTGGCACCTCTGTCGAGACCCCCACCTCTGCCGAGACCCCCACCCAGGAGCTGCCTGCAGGTGCCCTGCCTGTTCCCCTGCCCCACGGCGTGGCCTCCCCAGGCAGCGGCTGCCGCTCGTCCTCCATCGACAGCGCCTATGGCACGCTCTCACCTGCCTCCCTGCGGGACTTTGGCCAGCAGCCAGAGGGGACGGCCGAGGAGGGGCAGGAGCCCTCCCTGGCCCCTCCGGCTCCACGGCCTGCCTCGCCCCGGCTGCGCCGCCGGACGCCCGTGCAGCGCCTGCCTTGCCCGGCCAGGGTGCTTAAGTCCAAGTCGGAGGCCAGCTTGCCCCAGCTCCTATCCCCCACTTCCTCAGGCCCCCTAAGCCAAAGCCGCAGCCTCTCTGACCTCTGTGCTGGTTCCCCCCGGACTAGCCAAGACCCCGCACCTCAGGCTGCCCCTGGCAGCAGTGGCAGCTCCACATCAGAGCTCTCAGAGCCAGAGGAGCCAGTGGAGAGCCCAGCATCCCTCCAAGGGGAGCTCAGGCGTGACCCCCAGCCTCCTGCCCGTCGGACCCTCTCGGACCCGCAGTCGGCACAGCACCGCAAGCTAACTCTGGCACAGCTGTACCGGATCCGGACCACACTGCTGCTCAACTCCACGCTGACGGCCTCGTAAGCACATGCTGCCTGCTCCTGGGGGATCCCCAGCCCTTCCAGGGGCTTCCCAGGGACCGAGTCCCAGTGCTGAATGCATCTCTACCCACTGTGTCTCTTGCAGGGAGGTCTGAGAGCCGCTGGCACGGAAAAGGACAGATGCATGGATGTACCAAGGAGCTTCTCCTGCTTCTAACCGTAGCATAATGCTGGGGCCGGGCAGAGCAGGCACTGGGATGCCACTGTGCCTGCTGGTGGGGACATGGATGGGGATGCAGACCAGTCCCCTTGGCAAGGACGTGTCCTGGGCATGGTGGTGCGGGGCTGGACATGGCACGTGGCTTGTGCTGAACCCCTTGTCCACAGACATGGGAGTTGTCGGGCAGGGGGCCCTGGGGCTGTGGGGGGCTGTGGGAGACTGTGGGTCAGCTCTTGCAGGCGAGGAAGGGATGACGATGTCGGCAGTGGTGAGTGGGGAAGGTGCTGAGGGAGATGTGGTGCTGGTGGCACGGTGCTGTGGACAGTGCAGGGAGGAGGCTGGGGCTGGTGGCAGGAGGGGATGGTGCAGGGCTGAGGCAGATTTGCCCTGTGGGGTGGCAGTGGATGGCAGCACCTGGGACCGGAGTGTGGGAGACACGGTGGGACATGCGCGGTGGCCGCAGCCCCGGCTGCCCCCCCATGCTAAGCTGCACTCCACGTCCCAGCTGAGCAATAAAACCAGCTGGTGCACGCTCATGTCCGCCTTGCCTTTCCTTTGGCTTCAGCAGCACCCAAGGCTGGGCATCACCTGGGTGGGTGCAGCGTGACTGAGGGAGCCCCACCGGGACAGACAAAGAGGAGGCTGGGGCCAGTTCCAGCTTCCTGTTCTGGAGCTCGGGGTGGGGCTGAAGCCTCGGGATGGGGGTCTGCACTGCTCCCCACATACCCTGCGACCCCCCACCACCCTCACTACCGTGGTCTGCACCAACGAGCAAGGGAGGGCGGCGGCTGGGTCCGCGGCAAGGCACTGCAGATTCCTCCCGCGCCCAGCACTCCCGTCATGTGGTTTCATACCCCCTGGACTCATTTCCAAAAAAGCATTTCCTCCTGCTGCGGTTGGGTGTAAAAGCCTGTCTGGGGAGGGCTGGCGCTCACTCACCACGCGTCGCGTGCTGCTGACGGCAGCCGTGGGGTGCCGGGGCACCCTGCCCGGGCACTGAGCTGCCCCGACACCCCACTGCACCTGCTGCCCCGCTCCCCTCACCGCCCCGGCATGACCCAGCCGCATCGGCCACAAGGATGAAGTGTTGCTGCCCTGGGGTGGCTTGGGTGAGTGCGGTGGCCTGGGCGCCCCATGGAGCCCTGGCACCAATTGTGGGGTGTCCCACGGCTGTGGCCGTAACGGGTCTGGAGGAGGGAGGGTGGAAGGTGGATTAACTCCAGTGCCAAGCGTGCCAAAACCGCTGACCCCTCTGGCTAACAGCTGGGGCTGAGCTCTGCTGCGCCGAAACATTCAGGGCGTGGCGTGACCACGGCGGCCACCGGCCGTAAAGATCCCGGCCGCAGACCGGATGCGGCCGTGGGGTCAGTCGTGGGGCTGCAGGCAGGGCAGTGCCACGGCGAGTGGCTGTGCCGACAGCCTGCGGCTGCTTTCGGGGCTAGGCAGGCGCACGGGTGGCGGCCCTGGCACATGAGCACCGGTTACCGGCGGGGAGAGGGGCTGGCACGGCACAAGCGGCGGTTGCTCTCCCCATTGCCCCGCCAGCCCTGGGCCTGCCCGTGCCCACCGGGCAGGGGAGCTGCCGGTCCGCAGGCGGGGAGCGCGGGCAGGGCCCCGCTGCGCACGGTCGTGCCTCAGCGGTGACTCAGACGTGCCGCTGGCAGCCGGGACGGAGGCAGCGCCCGGATCTGCCGGCAGCGCTCTGCGAGCGGGGCGGCCCAGCGCGGTTTCCAGTCTGCCGGTGGCGGCGGGTTTAGTAGAAAATGATTCAACTGCCGTAATCGGGGCCATCACGGCTGGGAAATCCAGCCCCCAGCGAGGAATCCCCTGGCTCCCTGCCCACACCGTCAGTGCCACGGTCCTCTCAGCCCCCGGCCCGGCCTGTGGAAGGGGTGTCAGCGTGGGCACTGCTCGCTGCACCCTCCGGGGCTTCCAGGGGAGCAGGGCTGCTCTGCGGACAGCACCTGGCACCCCGCGGGGGAGCAGTGACCTACTTTGGGACGCGCGTAACGGGGCGCGATAGCATCGAGGAGAGCGTGAGCCAGGCACGGCTTCCTTTCGGGGAGGAAATCACCTCCTCTGCGAGGGAGATAAACCCCAGGAAAGTCAAAGCTGGCAGCGTTAACCCTTACGCACCCGGCTACCGACACCTCCCTGAGCTGGCGATTTCTGGCACCACCAGCAGTCCGTGTGCCTGACTCACTGGTCCCCATCCCTGGGGACATGGCAGGGATCCTTTGGTCGAGCATCTCGGTGCCAGCCTGGAAGCACCACTTGCAGAGCACATGGGAGGCACCTGAGAGTCCCCTGGGCACAGCCTGTGGCACAGTGGCCCCCACAGTGCCAGCAGGAAGTTTCCCCGTGTACTGCGGGGAAAGCAGAGCACAGGGGCTGCCACGGGGCATTCCCAGCCCTGGGGCAGCACACCCACGCGGCTTTGGGGCGGAGGGCCGCGGCTTCAGCCGTTCAGCCTTGTGCCGACACCGCTGTCCACACATTCCAGGTATGGCTCTGGCTCTGGTAGCCCAGCATGAGCTGGTGTGAGGGCTGTCCCCACGGGTGCAAGGCTCCTGGAGCAGCAACCCGTCTGCCTGCAGCCCTGCTCTCTCCCTGCTTGCAGGTGACCTTGGCAGCGCTGTGGCTGGCAGCCAGCGAATTGCAGCCCCCAGGGTGGCGGGACCGCACCGTGCTGCGAAGGCAGCGGGTCCTGGTGCAGCCAATCCTCCGCCTGCGGAGACATACCGACAGACGCCCGTGCCCTGACGGCATGAACTGGGTCGAGACCACTCGCCAGTGCTGCTCTCAGTGTCCCGCAGGTGAGCGCTGCCCGGTCCGTGTGGCATGGCACAGCACACCATGGCACAGCAGGTGCATTGCTCCAGGTGGCCGTGCTCCCTGTCACCCCACTGTCCCTGCAGGGACATTCATGTCCGAGCCCTGCACAAGCCTGAAGGAACGAGTGTGCCAGCCCTGTGCCGCCGGCACCTTCCGCACCCAGCCCAACACCCTCAGGGAGTGCCAGGCTTGCTACGAGTGTGACCGACAAGGTGAGCTGGCACCACAGCATGCTGTGCTGTGCTATGCAGCGCCGTGCCACGCTGCTCACCGCCTGCTTTCTGCAGCTTTCCAGAGTGTGCTGGCCAACTGCTCGGCCACCAGCAACATCGCCTGTGGCTGTGAGCCCGGCCGATTCCGTGTCTGCCTTGACAAGCAGTGCAGCGAATTCTCTTGCCAGAAATGCCAGTCCTGCACTGGACGCCTCATCCTGCGACCCTGTGAGTGCTGCCCCAGGGCACAACCTGCCAGATGTGCCATCTCTGGCTGTGCCACCCTGCCTCATTCCCACCCTCTCCCCAGGCTTGGAGGCACAGGACACACTTTGCGACAGCAGCTGCAAGCCTGACTACTACAAAGAAGGTGACGAATGCCGGCCATGTCATATGTAAGCATTGACCCTCCAGCCCACACATGTGGGGTCCATGGCATGGCACAGCATGGCACCCATGGGTCCCATCTCCTTGCAGGAGCACCCAGGACACATGTGGCAAAGAGTGCCAGCAAGTGTGTAGCAGCAACAACAACCAAGGTATGGGGACAATGAGGCCAGGGTCGGTGATGTGCAGTCACCATGCTGGCCAGATGATGGGAATGTTTCTGGTCTTCCTTTCAGGCTCAGGTCTGGAGTACATCCTGCTGGGACTCACTGGGCCTCTCTTCCTGGGTGCCCTTGCCATCTACCACAAGAGGAAGAGGCTCTGGCATGATGTCCTGGCAGGTGGTCCCCGCCCCACAGCACAGGCAGCCACCTCAGTGGCCGGGGCTGCAGGCACACCATGGTGCCAGTTCAATGCCCAGAGGTGGGACAACCTGTGCTGGACCCAGCCATGGTCCCCACAGGGGACAGAGCGTGCCACTGGCACAGCAAAGCAGAGCCCCAAACACCCCCTGCTGCCTGAGCCACCCAGTGACGAAGGGGAGCCCTCTGCACCCCTGGAGCCCCGCGGTGCCTTGCTGCAGGGCAGCCAACTCTATGCTGTCATCGATGTGGTGCCAGTACGGCGTTGGAAGGAGTTCATGCGGATGCTGGAGCTGCGGGAGGCAGAGATTGAGCTGGTAGAGCTGGAGGTGGCCCACATCCGCGACCAGCAGTATGAGATGCTGAAGCGCTGGTGCCAGCAGACCAGTGCCACACTGGACCACGTCTTTGCCGCCCTGGAGCGCATGGAGCTGGCCGGCTGTGCTGAGGCACTGCGCCAGAGTCTGCCCCTGGGACCCTGATCCCCAGCGTCAGCACCCTGGCACAGGGAGGTCCCGACACCTCCACATCTCACTGGGCACCTCATCCCAGCCATACCCCTAAGTATTGTTACTTATGCCGTGTAGACATTTTATGTCAGTTTTATGTCCCCTTCCCACCTGCCTGTTCCTTCTATTTATGTCCTCCTGCTCCCAGGGCCAGGGAGGACCCCATGCCCCAGCACGTTGGCTGCCCAGCCACTCGCGGGACGAGCAGGCACCGAGCCCACCGCGAACCCATGGGATAGTTCTCAAGGCTGCCCGCTGCCGGGCGCTCCTTCCCCCTCCCCAATAAAATGGTGTGTTCTCCATCCGCCAGCCCTGCCTTTCTTCACAAGGCTACGTCGGCCGGACACCTGGGCAGTGCTGGCCTCAGGACCACCAGTGCTGATGTGGCCACCACAGGTGACGGGGAATGTGGGTGCTGGCAGAGATGCAGGCGGTGTGGGTGTTGGGGGTGGTTGTGGTGATGTTGGTGAGGAGGCACCGCTGTCAGCGAGCATGGCGTGGGTGGGGGATGGTGTGGGGAGCCCCAGGAAGGCGCGGGGCACTGCTGGCGGGGTTTATCGTTTTAATCGCTGGAAAGGCAGGCGGTCTGGGCAGAGGTGAGCCGGAAGCTGGCCTTGAGCGGCTCTGGAGGGGCAGTGATGAGGGCGAGCGCGCTGCAAGGACGAGCGGTGCCAGCGGGGCGTGCGGTGAGCCCGGCCGCAGCGGCCGGGCCGGGCAGTGCGCAGGGAGCCGCGTGTCCCACGTCGCGGCAGCTCGCTTTGCAACGGGCAGAACAGGGCAGCGCTGGGCTGGCGGCAGCGGGATGTGTGGGTACGGGGGGCTACGGGTGCCTGGGGCGGTGGAGGGGGCTTCTCTGGGTTGGGCTACGTGGCCATCCACGGCAGGAGGAGGGTGCCGAAGCATGTCGCGGTCCATGGGGGGACCTGCCAGTCTCCTCCTGCTGCGAAGAGCCAGGATGAAGTGTGGCTAGTGCTTGGCTATGTCCCCCTTCTTGAGGATGATCTGTCGCTGCCAGGGCGCCAGCTTTGTCTCATCGTACCCGAGAGTCCTTAGCTTTTCCGACTGCTCCTTCTCCTTCTCCTCCTCCTCCCGCTTCAGCTTCTCCTGCTCTTTCCTGCTTAGCAGCAGAGGGCACGGGGCGCCGCGGTCACCAGAGCCGCGGGAGCCGCCGTGCCCGCCCACCCAGGGAAGGGGCTTACGGCACTCACCGTTTCTGCTCCCTGCGGAGGCAAAGGGAAGAGTGGGGTTAGTAAAGCCGCGGAAGTGACCGGCTGGTGCGGCATCCCCCGACCCTGGCTCACCTCTCTTCCTCCAGCTTCTTGCGCAGGATGTCCCTCCTCCAGGCCGGCATGCTGGCCAGGCGCGCCTCCTCTTCCTTCTCCTGCAACAGACAGCCGAGTCACCGGCACTGCCGGGAGCCCACCCTCACAACCGGCACCATGGGGCCTCAGCATCATCCTGGTGCGAGGCACCACATCCTTCTGGCAGCGCCCTCTTTGGCACAATACCCATGGGGTTCACCAGATCGTGGCTCACCGATGCGCCCCTCACTGCCCACCTTCCGCCGGCGCCAGGAGGAGGAAGGAGCGCGTGGCGTGGCCAGCCCTTGCAGCACACCGCAGCTTTATTGCACGACACGCGGGGGCCCACACTGCCCCGGCACCGCAAACGCCACACCAGAGGGGAGCGCAGCCCCGCCGCTGCACCTCCCACACAACACACAGCCACGGCAAGCGGCACACACTGCAACCTCGGCCCGGGGCCGCGCAGAACAGCACCCAGCCCTCTGCCAAGCTGGGCTGCACCACGAGCCACAGAGGCAGGCGAGCGCACCCGGACACCAGCCCACAGCTGTCCCCTGAGCTTGCTGCTGCCCCATGCCACACCACTGGCACAGCCTGCAGCATCCCGTTGGACTCAGGTGTCGAACATCTCTGCCTCCTTCTCCTTCCAGAAGGAGAAGCTGCGGTCAATGAAGCGGCAGACGTCCTCCTCGCTGAACTCTCCCAGCTCTGGTACTGGCACTGCTGCCCCTTGCCCTTCCGGGGCCATGGTGGGGGGCTCTGGCAGGCTCTCTACCACTGCCACAGGGTCATCTCCAAAAAACTCCTGCACGAGGTCCTCAAAGCCATCAAGCCAGTGGCGGTGGCCAGCCTCGACCTGCTCCAGCACGGTGCGGTGGAAACGGCGGACGCGGTGCCAGCTGTGGCTGCCCAGGCGGTCAAACATCTCGTAGCAGAGGAGGTGGCGGAAGCGCCGCTCCTCAGGGCTGAGGGGCATCTCCAGCAGCTGGAAGTAGCCCAGCATGAAGAGGTCGAGCGGGAGGCTGTCGTGGGGCATGGGTGAGCCGCCGACGTGGGGCAGGAAGTGTTGGGGCCAGTACAACACTGTGGTGCGGCTCAGCCGCCGGATCTGACGCCCTGGGACCCGGCGGGCAACACTCCTCCAGCGGGCCAACAGCCGCCCCGCTGCCGGTCGCCGCCTCCCCGGCCGCCGTGGCCGCTCCTCCCCAGGCACTGCCGCGAGTGCCCGCTTCTTCCAGTGCTCCAGGAAGAGGAAGACGGCGCGCTCCTTGCACCCCTTGGTGCGTTCATGAGGGCTGCTTGGCTCTGGCAGCGCCGGCCTGCTCCTCCGCAGCGCCCCGTCCCCGTATTCCTCCTCCAGAATGGGCCGGCGGGTGCTACCAGGGGGCTGCCCCCGCTTGCGCTTAGTGACCCTGGGGGGAGGTGCAGGGGGTGCCCCTGGCCCCTCGTAGTTGGCCTTGAGGCTGCGGACAGAGACACCGCAGCCCAGGATCTCGCGCCGGGCGTCGTGCTGGGCACCGGGGCTGCCCGCTGCTCCCCCCGCCCCGGGGCCCTCCCGGCCCCTCAGGGCGGCTGGCGGTGCGGCCGCGCTCCTCGGCAGTGTGGGGGACTGGCTGCCGCGGGCAGGCGCATCCTCGTGGGCGAGGGCGAAGCGCTGGGGTGCCGGGGGGGCAGAGAGCGGCACGAGTGGCAGCAGCTCCTCCGGCCCCCCTGGAAGCGGCTGCCCCAGCTGCGCCTCGTGCATCACCCGCAGGCTCCCCAGCTGCCTCTCCAGGTGCTGCATGTCCTCCTCCCGCATCGGCTGCCCGGCGGGTCCCGATAAGCCCCCGCGGGCAGGTGACCCGCGCCGGCAAAGGGGCGGCGAGCGGTTCCCAGGCTGCGGCGGGAAAGAGGGCAAAGGGGCTCAGGGCCATGCCGCACGCACCTCGTGCCACTGCCGCCGTGTGTGGCATCCCCGGGGTATGACTCCCCTGCATGCAGGTAGGGTGGTCCCCAGCCCAATTAGGAGCCAGAGGCAATGCCACGCACGCCGTCTCGCCGGGTCCTGAGCTGCTTGGGCCATGCCCACGCCGCGCTCGCTGCCGCAGCGCGTGGGACCCCCCTACCTTGCGCCGCTGCTCCTCTTCCTCCTGCATGCGGAGCTGCAGCTTGCGAACCATCACCTGCCGCTTCCACTCGGGGATGGGCCGACCGTGCTCGTCCTGGCTGGGCACCAGCGCCTCCACCTCCACCGCTGCCCCAGCGCCTGCTGCTGGCACCGGTGAGCTTCCGTTCAGCACTGGCTCTGGTGAGCCCCCTGCCAGGCAGCGTGGTGGCCCAGCAGCCTCGGGGGTGGCCGGCGGGGTGGGCGTCCTGGTGGGTGACGGGGAGGACACTGGCGACTCTGCCTGTGGAAGGAGGGAGGGAGGGCAGTGGGCACTTGCCGTGCTGTGCTGTGTCGCGCCACCGGCTCCCCTGGCCCCCATCACCACCTACGTTGGCCCCTGCCTGGCCACTGCCGGAGAAGACAGTGGTGAAGCCTTTGCTTTGTGGCGTTGGCTTGAGGCTCTTCCCAGCTTTGATCTCGGCCAGCAGCTCCGAGTTGTCACCGGTGGGGGACATCATGTTGAAGGACTTGGTGCCTGAAGGGAGGTAGAAGGGCAGTAAGCACCCTGCCAGCACAATCTCCCTGCCCCTGTGAATTCCCCAGCAGCTTGCAGGGTAGGGGAGTGCAGGAGTGGCTGGCTGACTGCCCCCCTCCGTGCCTGCCAGGAGCCCCTGGAACACCCCTGAAGCAGCATCCAGACACCCGGCTCACCAGTCCACAGGAACAGCACATCACCAAACTCCTGGGTCCATCAGACCCCAGAGGAGTCACCCCCCAGAACTCAATAGCCTGGCACCCCAGCTCCACAGATCTCTAAGACCAGCACTCCAACAGCAGCTTACAGGGTCCACAGCACTCTGCTGCAGCAGCACCCCAGCACCCCGGCATTCAGCTGCAAGGGTCCCAGACTGGCCCCAGCCCCAATGCCACTCCATGCCCCCGAGGCACTATGTTGCAACAGAAGTGTGCCTCTGGAGGGATGGCTCCGTGGCCGGTGGCATCCCTGTCGCTGCAGGATGGCCCTTACATTCCCGACAGCTGCCGGCAGCGATGCACCGACAGCCTGAGCCAGACTCCCTGCCAGCCCGGTGCCCAAAGGGCTGCGTGGCACCGGCACCCCGGGGATGCTCTTCCCACTGCTCACGCCACCCGCCTCGCGAGCACCCACCGTCCGTGCCAGCCATGCGTGAGTCCCTAACGGCCCATGGTCCCGCGCCAAGGCAAAGCCCCCTGCCCGCGGCCGGCGCCCGCAGCTCGCTCCGCTCGGCTGCGCCACGCCGCAGCCAGAGGGCTGCGGGTGCTGAGGGCCCAGCGGGACGTGCGCGCTGCCATCCAGCGCCGGCTGAGACCCCCCGGTCCCGGGAGCCGGCGCTAATAAAGCGGGCGCCGAGCGGCGGCCAAGCCCGCCGGCCGCGGTCAGCGGCGGGGGAGCGGCCGGTGCGCTCACGTGGCGGGGTCACGCCGGCCGGCTGAGCGCGAACAAAGGGCCTCTGTGTGCGGGGCCGGGGGCCGCGGGGCCCGCTGCCCGCCCAGCCCCGCCAGCCCTGCCTCCGCCTCCGGCAGCCCCGCACCGGCGCTGGGCTCCCCGCGTGCCACCGCCGGCCGGCGACGCGCAGCGAGGGCGCCGCGGGCAGCGGACAGCCCCAGCGGCCGTCGGTGCCCCGTGGCTGCGGCACCCGCGCCAGGGCACCCCCTGAGCAGGGAGGAGCGTGGGGCCGCGGTACTTACTCTTCATCTGCCTGAGCGCCTTTCCTCCTAGGGAGAGAAGCAGAGAGGCGGCGCGGGGCGCGCGGCAGAGGAAGGATTTGGCCACCGCGAGACAAGAGAGAAGAGAAGCGGCCAGCAGTGAGAGCAGGCAGGGGCGAGCGGGCGTGGGGGCCCCCGCGCCGACACCGGAGGAGAGAAGGACAGAGA